AACTGGTTAGCTACGAACCCCCTAAAGCTCTCACTGAAATGTATTTACTGTGTAAATCAGGGGTCACCAACCTTTTTGAAACCAAGAGCTACTTCTTGGGTACTGATTAATGCGAAGGGCTACCAGTTTGTTACACACTTAAATAAATTGCCAGATATGCTCAATTTACCTTTAATTCTATGTTTTTACTAATAATTAATGATATTTATTTTGTGGAAAAACTTTTATATTTTCTCTAAGTGCACATTTTTCAAATTTAACAAATGATCACTTCTAAGACAGTCCCATTTAATCGCAATTAATCACATTTTAATCGCATATAAATATTTGACCTGAGAACAGTGAGAAGTAATTTTTTTCACATGGATTTTTAGTTTACCATTGAATAATGACTGAATACATGAGGCTTAAGCAACACATGTTAATATGGAGTTTAAGGGATAACTTCTAAACATCAAATAACGTTTCTGTCATTGCCTCCACACTCTGACGACAACATATGCTCCTCCTCCTCCTCACACTGACGACAACATACTCTTTTTAAGCCCAAAATCCACTGCACACGCTGTGAGCACTAAAGCTGGGCATGCGCTGTTTGCTAAAGCTTTTATAATACGTTTTTGATGTGTGCATTCGGAGTAAACATCAGCATTAGCAGCTCACACACCTGTGTCTCGCTCCTCCTTCTCCTTCTCCTCCTCCTCCGCTCACACAGGAGTCACTGCTCCTCCTCCTCACACACAGAGTCCATCGCTCCATACACAGCGCTCATTCCCGTCTAATTTACTCGAATTTAAAGTTGGTCTCTGCTTGTAATAATATACTTTTGAACAAGAAAAGTCACGGAGCTCCGGTTGGTGCGTCAGTTCAATTGGTCCGTCTGAAACTTATTCAGTGAGGAACGTTCCGCGGTGCAAAAATACATACGATTAAAATGCGTAATTTTTTTAACACGCTTTTTTGTGTGTAATTAATTAATCTTTATTAACTTGTTAAAGTCCCGGCTCTAGTTTATATGCCATTTGTAAGTTGCATGTAAGTATGATTTAAACAAGAATAGCACTGGTAAGTGCTGCCATTTGAGCTATTTTTAGAACAGGCCAGCGGGCGACTCATCTGGTCCTTGCGGGCGACCTGGTGCCCGCGGGCACCGCGTTGGTGACCCCTGGTGTAAATGCTCGATTGTCTGTTGTACACAGTGAGCTAGCTACATTTAGCTACATTTAGCTATCGATAGCAAGCTAAGCTAACGTCCTCCCTGTGCTACTGTGCTTTATCTCGTATTATCTGCAGTATTCATGTGTTGTCATTCTGTTTTGTGCTTGTATTTAAGTTGTTGTGTGTATATTTGTATGAGAATCTCTTAGAGAGAACTTGTTTGCTTGATGAAGGCATAACGCCGAAACGTCGCAGCTCTTTAAATAAATAATTTTTATTTGCAAGTAAGACGGTGTGCGGGATTCTTCTCTCTCTGACTTTAGGCTCTACAGGCCTCCTCTCCAACGCAGCCGTTCTGAAGGTTTTTGATGTGCGAATCCCTACTCCATTTATGAGAATCTCTTCCCATAAGTGTGGAGATTACCAACGAGTAATGAGTGACCGGAGTATTCTCATCTGGACCTGGTCTGGACCTGGTCTCTGTCATACGTACTTTTGACTTTGTAAACTGTTGGTTTTGCACTTTACTTTTGTTTTCAATAAATCTGCGATTGTATCCCAAGACTGTGTTTCATTCATTTATTATTATTGTAGCTGAGGTTTGGGTATCGATTGTTTGTCTGGTCTCGGAGTCTGCTGTAGTCCGGACCCGAGTCCGGACTAGCCTAGCCTAGCTTAGCCTAGCTTAGCCGCTAACTCGCTACCCCTATGGCTGCCGCTGTCTCTCCCTCGGTCCTTTACTGCTCGAGTTGCCATATGACGAGTTTAAACCCCGGATCCTCCTCTGATGGCAGTGATAGATGTGTTAAGTGTAGTATTGTAGTAGCTTTGGAATCCAGGGTTAGTGAGTGAGCAGAGTCTCGAGCTAGCGCTAGCATTAGCTATAGCCTAGCAGTATCCTCGGACATGCAGCCCTCCTCCTCTGCTACACAGGCTGCTGTTGCTACAGGTATGTCCCATTCAGATTGTACAGAGCAGTCGGCACCATTGACTTCACAGTGTCTGAGTCATTCTTTTAAGACATAGGCATTTTCAAAAACTACTCGTGCTGTGCTGAATTTTCTATTAAACACTTGCTCTGGTATTATAATAAATCCATGCACCGCACCAGTACTAGTTACGCGTCACACGTAAATGACGTGGTCTGACAACGCTGAGGAGGACATACTAGGGGGTACTATTTTTGATGGAAAAGCACGCGAACTGGGCCATGGCGCGCCGTGTAGAGTCAAAACGTACCGTACTCGGACCGTGGAAAAACGGCATAAGTCTCCCAGCTGGCCTGGGAACGCCTTGGGGTCCCCCCGGACGAGCTGGAGGAAGTGTGTGTGCAGTGTTGCCAACTCCTCAGTAAGGAAAGTAGCTATTGGCTGTCCCAAAAGTCGCTAGAAGTCGCTAAATGACGTCATCGCCTAATTTGCATAATTGGCAATTTGAAAATAACTGTAACGAACGCTGTAGGAGAGAGGAATAACGTCGTGGGAGAGACAAAAGTGAGTAAAAAACACCCTAAATATGTTTAAAACTACAAATGTAAAAAAATAATTTCAACATTAACAACATTTAACGATTTTAATGCTTTGTCTAGATCTGTCGCTAGTCGCTTTTTTGTCGCTATAGGGTCTGAAAAGTCGCTAAATCTAGCGACAAAGTCGCTAAGTTGGCAACACTGTGTGTGTGGATAGGGATGTCTGGGCGTCTCTGCTTAGACTGCTACCCCCGCGACCCGGCAACGGATAAAGCGGAAGATAATGGATGGATGGATGGATGGATTTTGCATAATATTAAACTTGTCTCATTGGTAAATCTTGGTCAGACGATCAAAATAAATGCCCTATATTTACAATAATTATAACAGCAAAATAATTACTTTGTTTTGCTGTAATAATTATTGTAATATGGTAACAGCATTTCCTCCATATACAACATTGGTCACTGAGATGCAAGACATCGCGCTATGCTAACAGCTTCTTTCCACAGGCTGTTAGGTGCCTAAACAGAGCACTTTAATTCCTGCTTTTACCCCTTGTATCGTTTTGTTGATCGGTGCCACAGTGTCAGCTGTTTTTTTATTATTTTATATTCAGTGTATGTGTATTTTATATTACATTGTATCGTGCTTTTATTCTGTCGGTGCACACAGAGTACCTTTTATTGCAAATGTATTCCAATGTAGGTTTTATACTGCACATGGCCAATAAATGAATCTGAATCTGAATCTGATTGATATTTACATTTGTTTTCTGGACTGCCAGGAAAACAGCAGACAGGTTATAAAGCCAGTCTAAGCATGATAAGTAGCTCCTTATTGTGTTGGCAAGGGCCGTGGGAATTATGGTGTTATGTAATTGGCATAAACAGTCATAGAGAGCTGAGGCGCCTGTGGCTGAGAGCAATGGGACCTATTTGCACGTCTGCCTCTGCACACAGCCTGTGTACTCTTTAAGTGCTTCTGCCTCCTGCACCCTCCCTGGCTCTTGCGTAACAGCTTCTCTGGCCCCACCAAGCCAAAGAAAACATGTGACCATTAGTAGGGTTCCTTCTGGCTTTTCTCCTCGGTCATTCCTCCCCTCTCTCTCTCTCTTCTAGCACAAAAGGGTTTTCCCATCCACCAGCTTTACACAGCCCTAAGGTTGACACTAACCCACACATACCCCCACACACACATACCCCCACACACACATACTACCACACACACAAACACACACAAATTTCCACTAAGAATAGAATACTAGCTTCTATTGTCCATCAAATCTGTATAAAACCTGTTAATGATTGATAAATGCAGGACAGCATTGTTTGGTTAGATGCATCTCTGGAGTATGACATGACAAAGCCAAACAGATTAATACAGTCACAGTCAAAGGGAGACAAGCTCTGTTTGGTATAACAAGTCTTGGGAATCCTCTCTAAATTTTGGAAGGACGGCAGGCTGTGTCCCTATTCTATATGTCCTATAAGTGTCCTTTAATTTTAATCCATTTGTCCTCTCCGCACTCCCCATCCCTCTCAACACACAGCACGTGTAAACCACCACATGTGCCTATATATGAGTGGGTGTACTAATTTATAGGAGGGAATTTCAATCAACTCGTTGAAGTAAATGTTTTTTTTCTTCTTTATTTAACTCCTAAGGAGTCTATAAAACACAATATCTGTGGAAAATATGAAGTTCAAAGAGATGAAATCACGGGAGACTGTGTTGCTATGGAGATGAGTTATTCTGCCTCTCCGTGTTTCACCTGCTGGATTCCAAAACTGCTTATGGAGTTGTGTGGTGGACAGTATTTAATACATATTAATATGGTTTGATTTATTGATGGATTGATATTAATACTATGTTTAAATATATTAATGTCACAATGTCAAAGAGAATAACATCAACACATGGTGGAGTACTGTAGACAAACTTAAATATTTGTTTTCCTCTAAGTGTAATAATTTTCTGTATTTATTTGTTACATTTATACACGCATGCATCTGGTCTTGTTATACATGCATACTATTACCTACACATGCAATAACTATATAGGTAACACGTGACCTGTATTCAATATGTGAGTTGAAGAATGCAATACATCAAAGATCTATGGTTTAATTTTATTTTGATAACATGACATCTCCTATATGAACTCCCACATGCTTGAATATTGTTCGTGTGGCGTCACATGAGCCAGCAGCCGCCTGCACGTGCAGGGCGCACGGCACTACGAGCAGGAGAGGGGGAGCAGCAAGTGCGCATGATCAAATGTAAACACTGAGCACTTGAACATCCAAGTACAGATTCTCCACGTTTAGCAAACTGCTCATACATCTAGAAAGAAAACCAACGGAGGTCTCGCATGCCGCTGTGGATAGAGTCGCAGACCTTTCAGCACTCTGGACAGCGCTCTGCACCGGTGCCCGGGGCATGTGCGCTGAGCTGTGACCACCGGTGGCACGAGCTGCACACGGTGCACACGGGCAGAGGGCATGGCCGACTCCCCACCGCGTCTTTCGCTCTAATTGTTGCCAGGATGAACATTCCGGAGTTTCTACTTCAAGTGTCCATCGTGGCTATAGGGGTCGTATCTCTCTTGACCAACTTCTCGGTCGTGCTATGTTTCACTCAAAGCTCCGAGCTCAGGTCCCACGTCCCTGCCATCTTCATCCTAAACTTGTCTTTTTCTAACATCCTCCTGACTGTCATCAACATGCCGGCCACTTTGCTTGGTGTGGCTCAAGGCGATAAGCCATTCGGGGACTTGTTCTGCCGGGGGGTGGCGTGTGCAGAGACTTTCCTCACTACTAATGCCATGTGGAGTATGGCTGCACTGAGTATGGACAGGTGGATAGCTGTGGTGTTCCCTCTCAGTTATTCGAGTAAAATGCGTTACAGAGACGCGCTTCTCATAGTCGCGTACTCCTGGCTGCACTCGGGGACCTTCTCCCTGACACAGCTGCTCATGGACTGGGGCGGCTTCAGCCACACGTACGCGTCCTGCACCGTACACCTGGACTCAGACGCGGCTTCATCCAGGAGCAGCTTTGCAACTTTCACTGCAGTGTTTCACGGCAGCACCTTCGCGGTCTGCCTGCTGGTCCTCTGCTTTGCCTATGTCAAAGTGTTACGTGTCGCAAGATTTCATTGCAAAAGAATAGATGTCATCACGGTGCAGACTCTGCTTCTTCTGGTCGACATCCATCCTAGGTAACTTTGACATAATAAATTAAATTCTAAACTTCTAGACTAATTATGCCATGTTAATTCTATCATTTGACTTTTGACAGCGTAAAGGAGCGGTGTTTAGCCCAGCAGAAAAAGAGGAGACAGCGCGCCACAAAGAAGATTTTCATCTTTATCGGGTCTTTCGTCCTTTTCTTCTCACCTTATGTACTGACAAGGTAATAATCATTTATTGTCAATAATTATCATGTTACATTACATGGTATGGAGAATTTCCCCAAATTTTAGGACAGAACCGTCCTCTCCACTTTATGAACAATACTCTCTGGTCTTTTTGGACGAGCACGTATCACCAGAACAAGACAAGGTCCAATAGTCTTGATGATCCACCCGGAAGTAGAAAGTCTTCCCATATACCTTTAACTTTATCTGGATGACACATCATATTTTATTTAGCACCCAAATTTATACACCCAAAAACTTCCATCTGGAACATACATGATTGATTAATAAATAGTTTATTTACTAAAATCAAATCCAGCATTTGATTTTCTCCATTAATGGAATTTTTTTTGTAGAATCTCCCACATTATAAGATTAAAGCGAACCATCTCCATAGAGACGGATCCAAATGCATAAGTCTTCTATCTTGTCTGTATATGCAAAATGCACTCTAAAATACATTGTGAAAAATTAGATGTATTTGGTCATGCCAGTCATTGACCATTGATTGGTCAGGGCTTGGTTGGACTGACCAGTAAGTTTGTCACAATTACTTGTTACATGTTGGTGCTATGAAATTTGTTGTTGTTTGAAAACAGAGCTGTAGGGCCTTCATTCACTTTAACGACCTCAGGGCCAGTTAATTCTGTGATGGGAGAACAGTGGGGCAGCTGCAGCTGAAGTGCCAAACAATCGTTGTGTCCATGCACTTCTCCCACATTGCCTTGTGTGAGCCTGGTATGTGCCTGAATATTTGGTGGTGGTTGACCAACTAGATTAGTCTTTCCGACTATTATTTTGGTCAAAATAATTTGGAGCTATGGCCAATAAAGATAGGTTGAAAACATTATCATATAGATTAGACACACTACCAACTCGATTGGCCAAAACAACCAAAAATGTAACCTAACTTTTTCAGAGTATTGTGAATTATGTTTATGTCAAACACAAGCCTTTTCTTGGAAGGATGAAGTTGCCTAAAAAGTTCCATACTGAACCCTTAAATGTATTATATGATATATTGTGTTTGTTTGTGCAGGTTGGTGGAGCTGTTGCCATCAGTGTACATTCCGAGATACTGGGGCATCTCCTCTAAATGTCTGACATATGCCAAGGCGTCCACAGACCCGTTTGTGTACTGTCTCCTGAGGCAGCAGTACAGGAGAGCTCTGGTCAGCGTCATCTGCAGAATCCTGAGGCAAGACCATTACAAGCTGTCGGCCCACAGCGCTCACAGCAGCACCCTGGACACCACTGAGGACAACTATGTGACTAAAAGTGCTTGTACTTGAGATACACGAGACTGATTCCTTCCTGCTGCAGCCTCAGAGAAGTGCCTTGCTCAAGGACACTTTGCACTTGACTGTTTGCTGTAAGACTGTTACAGACATAAAATAATGTATTTGGCATATGACTGTTTGAATTCTTCATGTTATATCATAGTTGTGTATGCCTGTTGAGGCTACACACTTCTGAAGCAGGGCACACTCACTATTGTTATATTTAAATATATGCCTGATGTTTACTGTCTGCGACAAAGACTACTATTTATGTTTCTGTGAAACTGAACAGCATTTATTCAACCATAACTAATTGTGTGTTGGATGCAGTTTTAACACTGACGTGTGATTTGTAATGGCATATCCACAAAAAAGGTCAAAGCACGCGAATATAAACGTCTGGATTTGAATTGGGTAATTATGCTGTTTATATCTTAATAGAAAACATTTAATGATTGCACCCATAGACTGTATATTTGCACCCTGTGGCTGACAATGTGACGCTCTATACTAAAAGCTGATTTAGGCGGTTATCCAAACTTCACCTTCACTTTCCTTATGAAAGCGCAGTTATAGCTGGGATAGAGACCAGTTTAGTTCTGGGAAGTTCCGAGACACTTAAAGCTCAGCTTCAAGGCAGGACTGCGTAAGAACAAATACAATGAAAAATACGTTTGTTTTCATCGTGGTTAATAGTGGAATGAGCGGTCTTCCATCGGGAGCGCTGCTGTGTTCTTGCAGAGCAGCAGTGAAACCTGATCTGTTGCACTGGTGGGGCTCTGGGTCAGGGATGCTCTCTCACAAAGGAGGAACTTTCCCAGCGGCGGGAGGTAATTATCAGCTTCGGAGACTCGGTGTTCCACTCTGCCACATCACACGCTGCATGCACAAGTCTGTCCGCCTGCACAAGTCTACAACATGCGCTCCGGACTTCTGCTTCTGCTGTTGGTTTCCCAGAGCTGGTCCGCGCCTCAGCGGCCCTGCTCGCCCCAGGATGAACTTTACGGTAAGGTACAGGTCACTTGTGCTTGAGGTTTTGTTCTTGTGCAAAAACAAGATCTAAAAGAATCATCAATCAGTTGGATTAATGTGAATATGTCCTTCATCAAACCAACAGCATACTTTTACTGCTTCTTGTTTACTGAACCATTGCCCTGATGGTTGGAGCTCATTTTGAGACGATAATCCACTGATGCATTGTTTGTAGAACTGTAGAAGAAAGTTTTCATTGAAAACATGTCGCCCCCTGGTGTCTTGTGTCATGTTTGTCTTCTTTCGTAGGAAGATGCAACAATTACGTCTTTGAAGAAAGATGTAAGTATTAAACTTCGTTATACGATATGTGGTGGAGTCTGTAAACATATGCAACTTCTCCAAGAAAATGCTCTTTCAAAATGCCTGGCCTTTTGAAGAGATGATGAAGGGCTTTTCTTCTTCCAGACAGGATTTTTTGCTTTCAAAATTCTCCAATTTATGGCCCATATGTTATATTTTATACTGTACAGTCAGTCACCATTAAAGATAATGCTGACCCTCTCTTTCTTTTCTTTCCCCAGCTCAATGCACAGAGATGAATCTGGGTTACTGCACTGATCTGGAATATTCAAGGTGTGTTTTTGAGGGTGATTAGATGAACTATAGTCAGGGTAATATGCACAGTCTCCAAACACCCTACCTATATATAGTTTATGGCATCGTCTGTGAAGAAGTAGATGGCATTCATTTCTACAAGCACTTGTGTGGAGCATTTCACATTGTAAACTCATGTGTTTACCTTGTATACAATGCATTTTCATGGCATTGTATTTCATTTGAACGTTTAATAACATAACCTGGAATATCCCACAGTATGGCTTTTAGACCATTGTTGGTTACTTCACTGCTCTAGATATTAAAACCCAGACTAGTTTTTGTATATCTTCCTGTTGCAGAACTATATTCCCAAACATCCTGGGACACCGGACTCGAGTAGAAGCAGAGTCTGGAGCAGAGTACCTACTCTTGAGTGTCATTCATGGGCTATTGAATGGAGAATGCTCCCCTGAGCTCCGGCTGGTGGGCTGCTCTGTTCTGGCCTCTCCGTGTCAAAACAACCGCATGGTCAAACCCTGCCGCAGCTCCTGCGAGGCTCTGAAGAAGGACTGCGCTCACGCTTTTGAGGCCATTGAAATGGCTTGGCCCTACTTCCTTGACTGTGACCGATTCTTTGGCAGTGATCAAGAGGGCTGCTTTGATCCTTTAGCTGGACTGAGAGGTATGGCTAATTGCACAAATGTCTTTTTTAATTTAAACAAAATGAATAACTGAGTCAATATATTATAAATGACATAATATTTCCTTTTCGAATATAAGGATGAATGTAAAAATCAATTTTCCAAATTAAAGTGTTAACCTTTAATTTTTCAGGGATACTTTATACCATGAACATTTTTTATATTTAGTTTGAGTGGGCTTGACTTTTCTACAATTTCGTTATTATATCTAGGCTAGAGGGTATTTTCTTCTTGTCTTCATGTGGAAAATTCAAGGAAATTCATCCTACCATTTTAACGACCTACCCCAGACAGAGTCATCATCTTTTTTGTCCTTTTCTGAACAAAATTTAAGTGTTGATTTTTTCATCATTCAAACAGTGGACATGATGGCCACATAATTAGGATAACATTTATATTTTTGTTCTTAAGCTGATTATCCAAACAGAAAACAGACTCTGCATCAGTCCCTCCAACAGATGTAGCAAATAGTGTGCTTTTTAACATGCAGGGCAAGACACTGGCAACAAAGGTCTGGATTGTATGGACTTTATTAATCCATTAAGAGCGTAAACCACATACATAAGTGGCGTACGCATCAGTATGAAATCATGTGATGTCCTATGAATAATATGAGAAAGTACAAGTGGTTGTTATAGTATGGACTTTAGTATTTTGTTCGATTGGGTACCGATGTTGAACACTTTTTTTGTACTCACAGCCAGACAGGAGCTCGCGCTGTCCAGTCTGTCTCCAGAGGAACCCAGCACTATCATCCAGTTCACGTACACGTCCAATGCACAGATGTACAGCCTGCTCAGAAGAACCGCAGCCAAGTGCTCCCACATCTCCCACGTCTACAGCATCGGCCGCAGCACAGAGGGCCGAGATTTACTGGTTATTGAATTCTCCAAGAACCCAGGGAAACATGACTTATGTGGGTATAATAACATCACATCTATAAGATCAGCAAAGTTTGGTGAATAAAAATAGTCAAAATGCAGATAATGTACAGTAATGTATCAAGTATGCTTGCCATGATAACACCACTGTGATCACCAGGGAACACCAGGTGCCACAGTGGGGCAGCGGCAGCAGTATAGTACCAGACAATCATAATGTCCTTCTGCGAGACACTTCTACCACTTTACTCAGTATGAGTCTGCTGTGTGCTTGAAGGATCAGTGGTGGCTGACCAATTTACCCCCATTGGCACAATGTTGCCATTACAAAACAGGAGGCGAATAACACATTTTTAATTTGTCTTTATTGTTAAAAGCAAAGAAATAGCAGAATTAAGCTATAGTAAAGATTAAAAGTGTCTCTATACACAGTATATCAGTGAATCAGTTATTGAACGATGAATCAATTGGTTTAGTTATTATGACAGACCTAATATCAAGTTATATGGTTGAATCCTTGTGAATTATGGAAATCATTATATGTAGCATATTTCAATTCAATTTATTTTTGTATAGCCCTATATCGCTACAGTAGAAGTCTCGTGGACTTTACAAAGTTGTCCCATACTCAGGCAATAAATATTCCCTGAGGCCACTTTTCAAGATGGAAAAGATTTGGGAATGTAATCTAATGACTGTGACAGTGAGCACATTTGCAGAGTGGTTTCTGATTAGGCTTTGTGATGTGTAGAATTTATATAATTAGTCTAGTATTACGTGCCAGAGTGTCCAGGGTGGTAGCACGTAACGTCTTTTGTGAATAACCGGGTGTGGAATGATGTGAAAGATGAAGGTGAGAGGTCGTAGACTATACGTAAAAATAATAGGTTTATTGTACAGAACTCAAGATCTCAAAATAACAAAAATACTAAGCAGAAATGTGTATAAACAAAGGTGCAGCGTTGGACACAGACGTCAGCTCTTAGTTGGGCCTGGGGCCTTTTATGCCTGGGCAGATTGGCATCCAGCAGGTGCCGGTCATCAGCCAAGGTGGTGCAGAGGCGGCCTAGCTGAAGGGGATGGAGGCAAGGAAAACCACAAACGGCAATGCCCATAACACTATTCAAGTATTGTGAAATATGTTTTAGGAGCAGCACAAATGTTGTTACAGCCTAGTTGGTGAATGTGGAGGGATGTCTGGTGGAGAGAATGTCATGTATTTGTCTTTGTGATCTATCCTCTCTATTGTAGTGGAGCCAGAGATTAAGCTGGTCGGCAACATGCACGGGAATGAGGTTTTGGGCCGTCAAATGATTTTATATTTGGCTCAGTACCTGTGTTCCGAGTACATCCTGGGGAACCAGCGCATCCAAACCCTTCTCAACTCCACGCGCATCCATCTGCTGGCCTCTATGAACCCTGACGGATACGAGCTAGCCGCCTCCGAGGTAGAGGATAGCAGTGACCCGGAGCTCAGCAACCATGAAGTAAATATTGTTAACAACACACAAGACAAACCAAGTATATCCGCTCTCAATGCAGGAGGCAGAAGATGGAACCATGATACTGTACAATGACCATGTGGTATTAATGCAGATTGTTGTATTTACTGTGGCTAAAGTTATATGGAAATTAGGCAAACAAAATTGTCTTCTGCCTCCTGCATATCTGCCTGCCAGTGTTTATTATAAGGAAATTGGTTATGCTACATTATGTTTTTTTCAGATTGCAAAGCAGTTAGAGATTTTAACCATCTCTGTACTTCTGTATGTGTCTTTTATTTGTTTTAGTAATTTTTTTGAGTGAATAAGTGAATCCATAAGTATATTCAGCAGCTGTATCCAAAGCATGTCGCTAAATGTTCTATTTTAGATGTACAACCAGATCAATAGAGGCTTAAATGGTATTTCCTTTTGTCACATGTCCTGTATTTATAGTATTCATCTGGCATGAATATGGTTTGCATGTGCATTGTATTATTGCATGTGTGACTTTTAAAATTTGCTTTGCAGTGGCTTTAACAGTTTGTTATATACGTCTTTACTGCATGAAAAGTGCCAACGCTATTGTACTGCTTGAGCCAATGACGGATATGTGGTCTTGTCTTTATGTTAACAATGAAAATAATATTGTCTTTTTGTGTACACACTAATTTGTCTTGTCTCACAATGGTATGGTCACATTTTTATTAATTGTATTTATTAATGTATTCATTACATAGTGCACTAATACCGTATGTTTACACTTCTAACATATACCCAGATGTTTGAATTTACCCTTGCTTCAGGGACACTTGCTCAATGGTTGGACAAATGGCCGAACCAACGCACAGAACATAGACCTGAACAGAAACTTCCCCGACCTCACCTCCGTCTACTACAGAAACCGCCGCAGCAGACACTATCGCACCGACCACATTCCCATTCCAGACGCATACTGGTTTGGAAAGGTACCGTTACAGTCAAAGCTGGTTCTGTTAATGTTATACTGAAATGCATTGTAGTTTATAGAATGTAACGCCTTCTGTTGGACTGTAGGTGGCGCCAGAGACTTACGCAGTCATGAAGTGGATGAGGTCCCTGCCTTTTGTGCAGTCTGCCAGTCTTCACGGAGGAGAGCTGGTTGTGTCTTACCCCTTTGACTTCTCCAGACACGTCCACGAAGAGAGGATGTTCTCCCCCACACCGGATGAGCAGGTTCTGAATTATATTATCTATTAGCTATTTTATCCCATGTTATTCAGCAGTTGTTCTGATCTGTAACTTTTGGTTTGTATCATAATATGGTTCCACACCTACATGTCAAAGCCTGATCCCTTCAAATCTCAGCTGCTAAGCAAGATAGGGCCTGGTTAGTACTGTGATGGGAGACTAAACCAGGGGCCAATGTGAGGTGGCTGCAGTTGTCGTTATGTCCTTATAGGCAAGACGCTTCCCTCAAGTGACTAGTGTGCAATATTATTGATGATTATTATGAATTCCAGATGGGTAAACTTGGGTAAACTGAGCCTGTGAAGTTCTAAGACACATTTCCCAGTGTGAATCCAAAGAGAAAGAATAGTTGGTCTCGCTTGTATGGATGCCCAGCTTTTGTCAGTCAGCCCTAGGGCAGCTGTGGCTATATGGCATAACTGTGAAACGCTCAATGAAATAAAATCTTGTTTCTGAAAAAAATTAATTTGTTTCAATGTTTAAAATGGTTACAATCTTCTTTAGGTCAATGTTCTTTGTTTTTGACTTAGACTTTAAACTAAAAAACACATTTGTAAAAAACCCCAGTGTGCACAATTAAACAAAAAAACACTGTAATGATACCATTAAACTGTGAGGTCACTAAACCTCCTAGAACATGACTGGTCTTTTCTTCTCTTTTTTAGATTTTTAAACAGCTGGCTCGTACCTACGCGGATGCCCATGCCACCATGTCCAACAACGACACCAATAGATGTGGCGCCTCCTTTCAGCGAACCAGAGGCATCATCAATGGAGCATTGTGGTACAGTTTTGCTGGCGGTAAGATAAACACAAGATTTAAAAAAAGATAAAACAAACAAAAACAAATGCCTGTACGTAAAACCTGGGGAGTAACAGTTTGTGAACAGATCAACATCTTCATCTTGTTAAAAAAATATGTTGTCCATTTGGTCCTCTCTTGTAAAGCTAATATAAAGGCCAAAAAACTAGAGATTGCTTTGAGTGCAAGAAACTATTAGTTCGACACATTTTTATTACATGAAGTTCAACATTTGTGGTTTGAAAGTAAGGTACCCCAGCTTTAAGGTAATCATATAAAAAAAATCTTCCATCGCAGGTATGTCCGACTTTAACTACTTACACACTAATTGCTTTGAGATCACGGTGGAGCTTGGCTGTGACAAGTTTCCGTCGGAGGCAGAGCTGTACCCCGAGTGGAAAAGTAACAAGGAATCACTGTTGAGTTTTATGGAGTCTGTAAGTCCAACACAGAATGTAGCAAACCGTGAGAGCGTTTTTGTGCATTTGAACCTGTTCTTTTCATTGAAACAGGTCCATAGAGGTGTGAAGGGAGTCGTACAAGATCTTGATGGGAACGGAATAAAAGGTGCAACAATCTCTGTGAGAGGAATCAGGAAAGACGTAGCAACAGGTAAGTGATGGAGAAATCTTATTGTATAATAGTGTAGTATTCTGGGTTTTTTTGCTTCTGGATATTTATAACTACTACTTTTCAATCATTTGTAATAAAGGTTAAGTTGACTTTTTGTTTCTTGTCTCTGTTAACAACATTTTTCATTATATTAGTAATGAGTAATTCTATGTATTTACCACTTCATTAACTGATAATAATCTAACTTCTTCTTTCAGCTGAGGATGGAGACTATTGGCGATTGCTGAACCCAGGAACTCACATCTTAACTGCCGCAGCAAAAGGCTTTTCTAAAGTCACAAAGAGGGTCCACATACCACACAACATGAACAAAGCAGGACGTGTGGATTTTGTCTTGGAGAAGGTTTTTGCAGCATCTTAAATATAAATATAAGCTAAAATAGTGTTTTGAGATGAACAAATTGCAGTAGTTTTATATTTTGTATCAATTAGTAGTTATTTATTTTAATTGTAGTAAGTTAGTAAGTAAGTAATTGTGAACGTGACAATACAATTACATTTCATATAATTGTAGTCCTGTCACACAAATGAAAAGGAGCAGAAAGAAGAAAATAATCTTATGCTATATCACTGTATAATTTCTATGAGGTGCCTTAAACAAGATATGAGAAGGCGCACGATTCAACATGTGCGTCAATATGGTTAGACAACAACAATAGGCTTGTTTTTCCTTTACTCCAACCACAATTATACTTTACTCAAAGTTTTTCTTTGAATATGCAAATGAACATTGATCAAATGTGATTAAACAAAGTGTGTTGCTCATATAGTAATATTAATATGAACATAAATGACATGAAAAGTAATGTTTAAAAAAAATACTTTTCACGTCTACTTTGAACAATGTTATAAAAAATATTCAAATATATCTTGTAATTATTGTAGATGTGTTATTAATTGGAGCATAGAAAAAAAACATCAGATTTCCATGCTTACTTCCATCTGTATTTCCATACTCTCACAATGAAGGGAATTATACCTATTTACCCAACCAGTTTTTATCATAGACACCTTATTATTCTTGATGTAGAAATACTACAGCAATTTGTTCATAGATCAGGTAATTTGCCCGGGCTATAGAATACTAAGTGCATTGAACGTCTGTTTTCCCTCGTACTTGCGCAGGTGCCGGTGGAGCCAGACATTGATGACCACTTATTCCCGACAGACGACACGTGGGACAGATTTGACCCTTACAATCAGTTTGAGCGAGTCACAGAACCGGGTCTCGGAGAAGAGATCGAGCGGCAGGAGAAACCCTGGTGGTGGACTTACTTTTCCCAGTCTGGCATCACACCTCCAAACTGGCTGCTCCGACACATTTAGGCCCAAGGTTTTCCTGCATCAACAAGACTTTAAAAAAAACAACCACTTCTTTGTATTAGCATATTGGACTCTCTTAGAGCCAACCATTGCCAAATAATTATAAAATGTTGCACTTACCACCACATTCTAATTTTGAAACAAACCTATGTGCCATTGCAGCTTCTTGTGATTGCTTTTGAGATCAAAGTGTTATAGGTAGGAATATTTTTTATTTGAAACTTGTTTATAAAACAAATAAAAATATCACTTTTCAGTATTTTTGTATGAACTATGCAGGTTTGTTTTTTTCTGTGAGTGTGTTACAATATTCATCATAAACATTCTTCTAGCTTTGGTTGCTAATGTGGTCCAGCTGCAGGGGGAAATCCAGCTGGTTGAGTTTTTATAAAGAAACTGGCAACCCAAATGAGAGACTCGTTTGATGCTGATTCTGTTTACTGATTAGATTGAAAACTTAAACATTAACATAAAGTCCATCATTTATTGTAATTAAGAAAGTTCATTGTTTACAACGCTAATGTGCATATTGTCCTATTGACTTCTGTGATATCTTTGTTTATTTTGGTTGGTTTAAAAAATGTGCTATATAAATAAAGTGGCTTGGATTCAACCTTAAGAGTAGATAGCTCGGTGCGTGTAGATTTTCTAAGGCTATTTTAATCATACTGTGTATATATCAAATACGTATATCTGCAGTACATTGGTGGATGCCTGTATAGTAGTAGTCGTGTCTGTGCACGCCGCTAGGGGGAGTAAGAGGTGCTTTTATTCGGCGCGTGTGTGGGTGAATCTCTGATCGTCTGTTTATGGTATGTTTCGTGATTGAATAAAAACATATACTTATGCTGTGTTGTTATTTGCGGCTATGATTAAATACACACAGTGTGCAGTTCGATGTTCCTCTAATGATTTTGGCTAAAGTGCGCTACGGTAGCCAGGAAAAGTTAGCAAAAACAATTCTGACTCTTTTCTAACCTTTGGCCTTTTGGAATTAGTATAGTTTATCACATGTATTTTTAAGACTATGATTGAGGGTGGAATTCAAACAAAATTATAATTATGCAATAATATCACATTCCTCGTGTTTCTTTCTAGAGTTATGACGACGAGGACCAGCAACAGAACCATCAACACCAGGTGCGTATGTCTTCTTGTGCAAAATGTTATGAAAATGTTTTAAAAAGTTGAATTTATCTAGTTGTTATCGTTGATCTAGTTGCTATCTTCAACATGCTTTGTTAGTTGCTGTAATTATGTAAGGAGTTGTATAAGAAGGGACGACATTTTTTTGTATGGCACAAAAATAGATCTGGCTATTCAAAAAAGATACTTGGTAATGGTCGAATTGTAAAACTTTCAACTATTTTTCTAATAGCACAAATTAACAATGAATCTATTCTTGTATACATTTCAAATACTAGATATTATTCTGATGCACAGATGCACACATACTAGTATTGGTAAATGTATTTATTTTCAGTCAAAGCGATTTGTGAAATACACTTTTACACATTGTCCAGTCAGGGTACTGCACAATGTAAAAATGTGATTCTCATTTGCATTATTCATGTATGCGTAAAAATACAACCGAGATTAACTTGTTAAGGCTGGAGTACCTAACGTTATAACCACAAAAAATAACTATGTAATAAAAACCAGTTTTATTAGTGATAGAACCAGTTTTTAGGGCTATCTCTTGTTTTCCGTCAGCCCCTAGAATGTAAAACTCGAAATATTTTCTAATAGAATGAAGATAGTATGGTGTGGTCTGATTTGTTCACAAAATAAGTGTCTTTGTGTTGTGACAAATGAAACAAACTGAAAAGTAGGCACCCCAGCTTTAATCAAAAATCACTCCCATATACACTATTAAAGCAACATTTTCATTAGTTTCATATATAGATAAATCAGTGCAAGTAATTGCAATTCTCACTTTTAATCTTAACATCTTTTGTCCCAACTGTAGCTGTTGGTGATATGGACTTTAGTGTGTGTTTGGGCTTGTATTGTCGTACTGTGTTCATTTGTTTGTATGGGCTCCACTTCACTTATTATCATATAGCTTATGTTACAGTTTGACATTTCCCGGGTTTTATATTTTCTATGCCCTGTGCTTCTCAAATGAATTGCCCCTGGTGGAATTGATGAAGTCTGATAAGTCTGAATCTGATTCTGCAGAAAGTAAAGTAATCTGAATTTCAAAAAAATCCTTTATTGACGTTGGGTGTTTGTTCCAACCTCGTGAAAGGAACTGTTGAAAATGAGACAAGATGCAGATCGGTCTGGGATTGTGTCCAGCAGAAGACATTTTATTATTGTTACAAAGACGATACAAACAAGTTTTGCTGTGTGCATGTGATATTATACCATGAAGGAATCATAGACAGTCCAATCAGCAGCTGCCACGGTGCCAGTAGCTTCGGCCTTCAGATAATTAAAACATCTTTTCACTGGCTTGTGCATACTGGCCTAATGATAAGTTCAGCTTTAACTACAGTTGCTTGAAAAGTGTTGTAAAATATCCATAGAACCTTTAATACCACAGTGTCAGTAAGTATTAATTAGATTATGTGTGTGTAAACCTTACTTACAGCCAGTTGTCCCAGCCGGAGACCTGAGAGGTGCGGCAGTCTATCAATAAAATCTGCTGTGCGCTGCATCGCGTGTAACCTCTCTAACCTCCCCCTCTCTGCATATGTGCCGCCGCTGCACGCTGACCTGTGCTTGATCTAATGTGTGTAAGCATATTAAGGAAGCCTGACCACGGTTCATACTCATAATCCATGTTGTAATTAGCTGCAGTAAAGTGGTGGCTTTATGGAGTACAGTGCATAGGCTGTCTAATGCCTACGTTTACATTATGCAGTTAAATGAGTAATGTTGAACCTGGAGTACCTGACTTTGAAACTATAAAAATGTATGTCATAAACGCCATGTCTCTTCCTATCTCTCAAAACGTTTTGGTTCTATCTCATGTTTTATCACCATGTATTACTGATCATCTTTAGATACACTTTTTCAGACAGAATAGATACTCAGCTCTCAGTATGAACAGATAAACTTGTATTTTCCGCACCATTTGGAGCACTGGATTTACAATGTCCGTTTCTGTCATTCTTGACCTCAATTTGGAAGTTTAACAAAACGACCAGATCAAAAGGTAAATCAAATATCATTCAATGTATTTACTGGCATAAACAAGTGCAGGAACTGTAAACATTTTTCAATTGTCACATTCATCAGATTTGTCCGTAAACAACGCAGGCGTATATCAAACATTTTAAATCAATTAAAAATATTGAACTTACTCCATTGTATTTTAAACTATATCTTTAATTACTCTCATTTTTCTTATTTTTGGTAGGGTTGGGCAATATGGGCCTCAGCATGTATCACGATTTTTGTTGGTATGTATCACGATATGACGATATGATAATTTTAACAAAGCCTCATATAAAAGCTATAAAAACTTAGCACTGATAATTTTAAACACACTTGCCTCAAAGTGCATTTACTGATTTATTGGCAGCAAAATGTGCAATACAGCTATTGTATATAAAACATATTAACAAAACTGAATTGTAGAGAATTCTGTTTTGTACATACTGAAAATTGCAGGCATCAGGTAATAAAGGTGAACATTTGTAATTTGTAAAATATATAAAAGTTTGTCCTTTGTAATATAAAAAGTGTAGCATTATCAAATAATTATTTGATCACTTTGGCTTATGTTTCCTAATCCCAATATAGTCAAAATGATCAAATACTGTATATATTTTTTGTATCCTTTTGCGTTTCTATAATTATGTAATTATAACTTATTTGTAATTATATTGCAATGTAGACAAACACATCCATTGAAGTAAAATGAATGACAGTAAACAGTAAATAAAGCTTACCAATGGCACTATGAGAGAGAGAGAGAGAGAGCGTGTGTCCGAAGCAAGCCACTCGAGTACAGTTGTTTAGGGCAGCTGCTTTCACAACATTAGATCCACTGTCGATAGTTACACACAATTGCGTCTTTTTATCTAGTTCCCAAACTACTCCCATATGTTTGAGGTAGCTCCGCGTTTTGACACAATGTCTTCTACAATCTGCATGTCTTCACCATGGTCTTCACCGCCGCCCTCAGCCATGTTTGCTCTCTGCTCTGTTGTTGTTGTCCCTGCACGCCGCTCTGCTACACGTGCCGCGCAGATGCGTCATCAAAGTGCGCCGCACACAAACGTGTCTTCCGCTCGCTGTTTTCAGTGTTAAATGATCGTTTTCACCGGTATAAGGCATTTTCTTATCATTTAATTTACTTATACCGGTATACCGGTACAAAAAAAATATCGCCCAACCCTAATTTTTGGGTGTGGAACAAACGGAGTGTATTTTTATGAAACAAAATTCAAGTTAGGTACCGGTACTGCAGCTTTAAGTAGAACAGAAATAGTGATTTTAGGGTCACATTCAGGGTTCATTTTGGTCAAACCCTGAAGTGTGCAAATAAATAGTAAGAATTTACCGTAGACATTTCTCTTTTCACATAGTTTCTCTGGCCAAACACAAAAAATCCAAAATAATTGTTGCATATGAAAGAGAATTCAATACCAAATCTTGACAAGCAACAGTGGATAATGATTTTATATGGATAATAAATTGATTCAAAACTAAAAGAGCCTCTGAATAAAGTATAATGCAAACAATGTTCTTGAAGTACTATTCTCAATATTATATGAAGTACTATTCTGAAAATAAGAATACTAATTCATTAAAATGCAACAACAAATTATCAGATAACTGGAAGCCTCAATAATGACATTGCAGATGTTTTTTGAAAGACATTATTAGAAAATGTTAAACAGTGAATGTCATGTCATGGGGTTCCAGTTTGAATGAAAGTAGCTATACAACACACAAGAAGGTGGATACGGTGAATATTTAAGACATTGGTATTTGGATTGCAAAAAAATTATATTAGAATGGCTATTGATAATATAATCATTATTGCC